CCCAAAAACTTGATTGAATTCGAATCAAAAGGTGAAATTCGGAATCACCTCAGCTAGGGCTATCCGACTATGTAGCTTTCGACCGAAAGTTAAGGTATTGCTGCATTTTTGAATTGCGGGCACCTTAGGTAACTTGACATGTCCTACACACTGGATGTATCAAAAATTAATTTCGGACAAAAATATTGACTCTGGAAAATCGGTTTTCTAAAAAATTGGCCCTTAAAAGACGTAGCAGTCGTTTAGACTATGATACTCGGAATTAGCACTATCGATTACCTGTAATCACACAACGTCCATCAAAAAAACCTTCGCGCATTAGTCAAATGTAGTTTCGCTGCAATACATTTCGATACACAGCTCCCCTAAAGCTAGATGAGTTGCGAAAAACGTGTAATTTTCGAGAAAAGGTCGATTTTTGACAACATTTCGACTTACAACTCGGCTAGATCCCAATAACCAGAGCGCATTTAAGTACCGTTTAAGAATGGATTCCATCCTCACTCTTCATCTATCTTGAAATAAACCCGCTTTCATGCAAACCTGAAATTTTGTTACATTCAAAATTTTCAATCTACAATCTTAATCTTAATTCGATTTTAGCTGACATATATAGTGGTGGCATAGTTCAGAGACATTTCAGTATTATGACATAGTGTTTAGCAAAAATATGTATGCGAATATAAAAAAGTTCATAATACTATCAAATGATGCAATATGCTTTCTTGATGACTGTATTATATCATATGTACATATTTACTTAGTAAATACGTTGATATTCTTCTAAAACTCTACTTACATTTGGACTAACTAGATCGCTACTTCATTGCACGATATGTACAATTTTTGAGATCTAAACCATGTTGTCTTATCATAGAGATGAAACAAGATATATTACATGCTTTTTCCCGTAATCTTTGCCATGTTTTTGGCATAAAAAGATCTTCGCGGCCGAGATCTTTCCATGGTTTTTACAAAATTTTGTCCACCGGGATCAAGAGCATGTTATTTCCCTTATCATTTCTCATTTTGTCGTTTTGTGCATTTGTCGGATTTGTAAATCAGTTTTTTGTCGTGTTTTAGCTAAAAAACAACGTTAAAGAACTCAAATGGTCATTTTCGGAATCAGCGCTGAAAACTGCATGTGCTGGTGTAATCAATGTTTTTCCTGACCAAATCCGAATTTTCAATGATTACGAGCAGCGACTAGCTCCCGGCACATATTGACCCAAAACTGATTTTAATGCTGAAAAAGATTGCTACACTATTCCATGCAGTTTTCAATGCTGAGTCCGAAAATAACCATTTGAGTTCTTTAACGTTGTTTTAGCTGAAAAACGACAAAAAACTGATTTTGGACCCACGAAATTGTGCTACTCGACCAACTTCTCGTCCATTTTTCAAGGCGACTCACTTTTGCGCTTAGAATCCGAATATGCAACAAAAACTATAGGCTAACTTCTTTCATGCTACGGCGTTTCTCGATGCTCTCGCAAACCGTTCCGTAGGCTTGAGCCTAGTTAGAAAAAAATTTGCTAAATCAGTTTACAGTTAATTTCTTTCATGTTTCGCCCAAACTGCTAAATGCTCAAAGCGCTCTCGAATCCTCTCTTAAAATTGTGCGACGGTATCACTTTTCTGTTCTCAGTCTTTAAGTGATGTGATCCGCAATGAGTACTTAAGAATGGAAGTAAAATACCACCCAGCCAAAAGGAAGCGAAAAATTTCAAACAGCTGGCAAACAAGATAGAGTAACGCGGATTCTGTGCACGAAAAGTTCTGTTAATCAGGGCCAGGGGATATTTCTCGTGTCGCACTACCACCAGAATGCTTTTCTCGCGTTTTCGAGGATGAAGCAGAGGTTACGTCAAACGACTCCCGCGTGCTAGAGAGTAAGCAGAAGCTTCTATTTTTGCCTTTGAAAATCGTCTTCCAGAGACTCTACTCAAGCAGGAAAAACGATCAGGAAATCGAATTTTCTGCCGAAAATGGTCTGTAAAAGTTCGGAGACTCTTTGCGGCGGATAATTTGACCGCTCCTCCGTTCAGTGTCCAAGTCTCGTAAAATTCAGACGAATTTTTGAGCCGAATTCCACAAAGCCTTGAGACTAGGGAAGAGTCCCAAGTAAGTTTTTCAGAAAGCCATTGAGAGAATTTCTCATAAACCTGAGAGAGATAGCATCGGTTTTAGTATGTTCTTTTACCTATGTAACCAGAATTTCATCGACCTTCAATGAAAACCCCCAGAACTTGTCCATCTTTCCTTTCTGAACAAAAATACGTTTTCTCGTGAGACACTACGTTCGATTCAGTTTTGAACGCTGGTGTCGAATATAACCTGATTTTTATTTAAGCGCTTGTCTCGGTGTAGAAAAAGATAATATTGAGCCAATGTCTGTGCTTTTCGTTGCCAGCTACTGCTCGATTGTAGGAGAGATTTCGCATGATAGCACTTTATTAAAAATATTTATTAATAGTTTGTTTTAATCAGTAGATTATCTGTGACTAACAGGAGGAAAAAAAACTTGAGTTAAATGTTTTTTTAATTACTTGCTGCTTTTGTAGTGGAGGGCATTAGTGTCATTGTGTTAAGCTCAGTATTACACTGTTTACATACAGGCGTACTGATTCCAAGTCCCATTCTGAGTGTACCTTGTATTTCTGAATGCTTTCGTTCAGCTAAACAGTAGGGACAAAGTTTAGAGTAAAATACTCTAATCGACTTGTCAATCTTATACTCATCAAGAAGATTTTTAAATGTTTCGTATTCTGTTTTTGGCAATGCTGGCTCCAACTTTTCCTTATAGTCCATGACCATCTCAACGAAACGATCAATATCCTGTTTACCTGGCTCATTTGCATCAACATTTTCAAAATTACCGTCCCACAAGATAGGCCAGAAAAGACCTATCATAGGCGACACTATTCCACTCAGTGCACTCCTTTTCGTGCCCGAAATACGATGAGTTTTGTGTGCACGTTTGAGTTGACAACAAACGGCTTCCCAGTCGGAACGAACAAGCGTAGGATCGTTATGTTTTGCTTGACACGGTTTCAATTCATTTAGGCTCTCCCATAGTCTTTTCAGCTTTTCTTGACAATTATTCCGTATAACATTTCCAGACAATCGTTCTTTTTGTTCAAGTGTTTTCATTGCAATACTGCGTGCTAATAATTTCGTGGCAAATGTTCGACAGTGTGCGTACCATACTTGTGAAGGAGTGTCGTTTCGTGTATTCAGATGAATAAATAGTTTTTCAGCAATTGACTCGTAATCATAACCGGTATCAGTCAGCTATGCTAATAGTATTACTAGAGAGACTGTTCCACCATCCGAAACGGTTTCTAAAACACTGTCCATCATAAACAGCCATTGCATATGTGTAATTAAACGTTGCTGTTGTACATGTTGATGATAGATTTCTTTAATTTTTGTTTTTAATAGATCAATATTATCCTGAAATATTTGCGAGCCAAATTTACCAGTTACTTTATCCCAGGTTTGATTGGAAGTAATTGGCAAGCGGAAACAAAAAATATCTGAAAAGTATGTATATAGTTCCATCATATTCATTGAGTTTCCATGACATTCTAGAAATCGAGCTATAAGTAAATCGCTATTGCATTTCGTTTGCGACATACTCATATTTTGAATAATTATTAATACTGGTAAGTGTTCACAGTCTTTGACGCCTGCAGCTGCTCTTTTCGCAAACTTTGAACAACGTTCAACGTAACTGAAATTGTTCAATTCGTCCTTGCCAACCAAAATTACAATATTACCAAGAATATAAGCCAGCTTCGAAAAAGATTCTTTCACAAACTTTCGTCTCTCGTTCTGTTTATCGCTCCCGTGCATGTGTCGTCTCAGTCGTAGCATCAATGGCAGGCCAGAGTCTTCACCTTCATAATCTAATACCAGTGTCTTACTCGTACCTTCTGACATATTTCTACTTTCATAACAGCCAATATTCCCTGTAGTGCTAACCAATAAATCGTCTACTTCGGGCGGAGCTGCTGTTGGACTGTTCTCATTTTCCAAAGAGAAAGCTTTGACGATTAAACTTTTCCCAACACGGCTATTGCCTATCACACTGATAACAAACACATCATCGTTATTATTGACGGCGCTCTGCCACTGTGCATCAAAACCTTGACCAGTTAACAATCTATATTTATCATTAATCATGCTGAGTCGTATTATTTCATTTTCTTTTTCTTTCTCGGCCGCTTCTATCAATGTCTTTTGTATTTCAGGAGGAATGTCATGCCAACCATCTGTTGATTCATCTCCAACTTTGTATGGAACTGTTGTTGTTGCTGGAATTGGTCAGGCCATTTTTTTCTCCTAGATACAACTTTGATAAAAACAAAGCAATGTTTTGCAGAATAAGATGGTTCGTCCGCTGCCCTGGGTCTTTACAGCGAAAGTAGGAGCACCAAAGATGAAATTTAGTATTTTGAGGTTTCTGTTAGGTTCGGCGACGCTTTCGTAAAGCGACAGACATTCTAAAGGATCGCTGAAAACCGCACAAAATTCAAAATTTTCCTACCGTGAAGCATCACTCCTGTGAAATACGCAAAAGTTTGAAGGTACTGAAAAAAGTATTTTTTTCCTAAAATTCCGTTCTGGGGCGGCGGATTCCTCTTATAACTCGCCTACCGGACGCAATGAAACTTTTTTTTGATAGCAGAATTCGACAGTGTTTCAGTTACAAACAAAAATGCGAAGAAGCTAAGGTTGGAACTTGGGATGATTTAGACTTGTGATGTCACTGCAAAATGTGGAAACAGATTGACAGACGAACCTTTCTAGTAGTCAAAAGTTTTTTACCTGCTTTGTATTCCACTGGTAGTATTCTAGAGAACTTGGTGATGAATGGTATGTATAAAAAAATCTCTGCTACTCGTGTTTTACTTGGAATTTTCTTCTATTCAACTATAACACATAGCTCACCTTTCTTATCAGTTTTCATTTACATTCACGAAGAGTGCGTCATCTTTAGCTACTGCATGTTTCTCTGTTACTCACCTTCTTTATTGAGGATGGTATACGTACCACGCAGGATGTAAAAGTTCCAAGTTCAGCTAGAAATATTGTTCCATTACGCAGAACTTGCAAAGTGTTATCCCATCAAGTTTCTATAATGTCTTATGACATTTGCTCCACAATCAAAGTAAGTTAGTTTGGCTCAGTTGTTTTAACTAACTGACTCAGTCTATACACTTGACTCATTGAACACTTTACAGAAATCTACACCACAATCGTTGACAACTGTAAATTCACAGAGAACTCTGAAAACGCTCAATTCACTACAGTAATTGAAACCATTAAAAACACTAAAGTCACTTTCATCACTTCTACAGAATTATGTTTGGGAAGCCATTAAATAAAGACGTATAATTTTATAATTAATATAAACTAAATCTTACATTTAACTTATATTTAATACTCTTTTAAAATTATGAAATATAATTTAGTGTTTTCATTTGCATTGCTGTAATTTCATTCTGCTCGTCTTCTCTTTATCAAGCGTCATCAATTGAAGAGAAACAGATCATCAACAACCATTTGATATTATTATTCACCGTTAATATTTCATTATTGTACATTAGTTTTTCTGTAAAATATTTTATCGTGGTAGTAATTTGTTGTTGGTTTGTAAAACCGAACTAGAGTTAGGACTAAGATGCTAGTACAGGAGGAAACGACTCAGCCCCCTGAATTTCTTAGATGAGCTAGTGTAAGTTTGTGTCTAGAAGAGAGAGTCTAGTAAGGTCACAAACTAATTTTTGAGATCTTAGACCTTTTCTTTCCTAAAAAGGACTCAAAAACTACGGATTAGGGGCTCACAAATTCTATTGAGTGACTCAGACCCCTGTAGTTCTTCCTTTGCTATGCCGTATTTACGGAGTAAGTATTGTTTTCCCCTACATTTTATAATATGCGTTTTTTCTATTTACAATCAGAAAAAAAGATTGAAAATGTGGGTTTGTTATTCTCATTTTAGAGTATAGAGACTATTTCTGCTCGGATCTTTTGCAATTATTTTCTTTTTCTGACCATTAAATTCTCAAGTCTTTAATTGATTCGTTTTAAACTTTCGTTCTGTGAAAATGATAAATAAATTCTCTGAAAGATCTTGCATACTTTTCAATGTCTCTGGCGAATGAAAATATTATAATATGTCTTTTCCTGGACATTTTAATCTCAAGTCTTTAATCGAGTCTTTTAAGATCCGACTTTTCTTCACAAGACGAACGGTCTTTTAACAGTAGAGATCGAATCGGATCAAGCAAAATAGGGTGGATCGAAATTGCCTCCGAGAATTCTTTCGAATATCATCAACGGAAACTGAATTTCAAATCGTATTCAATTTTATGAGTCGACTTAAATTGAATTGGACACATAAAGCATTACAGATTCATCTACTCCTCTAGATACCTAAGTATCGGTGAACACTGTTTTTGTTCACATTCCTGACAATCCTGCGATCTGTTGGTGAATCGATTTACCCAACTCTGCTCCAGCTAAAGAAAAATACAAATAACAATTTTCTCGATTTGAGAAAACACATTGATATATCACGTGTTAGCTAGTTGAAGATAATTTCTACTTCATAGCCGTCTCAATCATAAAATCTTAAGAACAGTATAACACTCTCTATTCGTGTGTTTACTCTTGAAAATGGAAAATCGTATTGCTAAAGATTCAACTGCAGATTCCAATTTGATCAGTTTCAAACATCCTTTATAAAGAAATATTAGATGACGATGATTTTAATAATCAGATAAAATTTAATAATGATCATTTTTACTGAGTCAACAGCCTATACGTCTACTAGTCTAAAAAAGAAATCAAAACGAAAGAACAGTAATTATTTTCAACATCGTAATGAGAATGCTGCATTAACACTGTAACAGACAACAGTTTCTGATGGTAATACCGTTTTAGTATACCTTTACTTTTTATGTAACTTCTGGTTATGTACTGCAGCTATGAGTGTTTTACAATCCACCATGCTGTACGAATATTTAGTAAATTCCTCTTCCATGACGAACACATTACAACAAGTTATCGGGCATCAACAACAAGCTTTTCTAAACGTTTAGCGTCATCCAACATTTGGAAAAGCCTTGTGTTTCTGCTCTTGCGTCAGTGTAGCCCAAAGGTCATGATATACATTGATAACATTGACAGAACTTTTCCGTTAGTCTGTATGGTGGGATCTGATGTAGTTGGAATTATCTCAACTATATTTTTTAGCATTCGGATTAGCGTCGTACATAAAGGCGCATGACAAAACAGCAGTTACGTTTCAGTGGAACAAAAACAAGCATAAAACTTTCGGTCAGAAAAAGCTGGATCGCAGATTACAAAGCCGAATGTGATGTGTGTAACTGTGCACACAAAGGAAGCCGGTTGGATATCTGTAACTTTACTTTCGGAAAGCGGTCGAAGACAAAATTTCCAAATCATTTTTCGAATTCATTTGGTTTCGGAGTAGTTGCACACTGACATCCTTGCTCTGTCTGCGAACCATTTTGGAAAACTAATCAACACTACTGGATTTAGCACGGTGAATTCTGTTGTGAGCAAGCCTGCTGAAAAAAAGTTTTTGACGGAGAAAAAGTAATGTACAAATTTGAAATCAGTATGAGCAACTGATCATTTTTATCTTAAGAATAAAAACTAAAGAATTAGGCAGTGATGAATCATCCTGCCCAAATATATCTATTCTCAGTTCAGATTGATGGCCTTTTAAGTTGAAGTTTTCTTAAAATCCTTTCTAAAAAAGGTATCTAAGAGAATTTCGCGAAAAGCTTCTGTTATAACAGAGAAGTATTTGCCACATTCCGTTTCGTTTAAAACTCCTGAGATCAAAAGTAGTTTTTTCCCATATGCATATTCGGATGGTTAAGGGGGCGTCCCCCATTTAAACTTTTCTCTAATGTTCCCAGTTTGTAGAGGACACTTCGAAGTACATGTCCTGACGTTTTTTCGGTTTACTGACATTATTTGGCTGAGAAAAATAATTAATTACTTAAAAAGATATTGATAAATTTTTGAATAAGGGATTATTATTAAAAGAATTCCTGTCCATTCTCCATTTATCATAAAAGCTTGGTTCTTGCCTAGATCGATAGAGAAATGTGTGGAAAATACTTATTACGGGAAAATATGCACGCATTTTTGTTCTTTCCTTCTTGGTATTGGCTAATTAGTGCTAATTAGCGTTAATTTAGCCTACTCGACTAGCATAAAGTCTTATTTGTAAAGTAGCAACGCAACAAAAAGATTCAAGCAATACCTCATCTGACTGAGAATTTCACGGGCTACAATTTGGACTACCTGAAGAATTTTAGAATTCGTTTTTGGTCGCTCGGTAAGTCTGGTAAGTCGAGAATTTAACAATATTGTTTTAAGTAATTAATTTTTTTCTCAGCCAAATAATTTCAGTAACCCGAAAAAACTTCCGAACATACACTTCGAAGTGTCCTCTACAAACTGGTAAGGCTTGACGAAAAAATTCAAAACTTCGAAAAAATCGCTGGTTTTTAGCTCAGCGAAGATTTTTTCACCCCACCTTACGGCTAGTTTCACTCGAAGCAAGCATTCTGACGCCAAACTTTGGGTACAAAAGTTGTTCAGAATCGAATTCAGCAGTCCCGCATGAGAGCTTTTTTCAAAAATTTTCTGGTTTTGGTTTTTAAATTAAATTTTACAGTTTTTAAAATTTTAAAATTTCATATTTTTCAATTTACAAAGCAAAAAAAGCTCTTGTGAGGGACTCCGGAATGCGAGTCTGAACAACTTTTGTATCCAGAGTTTTGTTTCAAAATGCTTGCTTCGAGCGAAACTAGCCATAAGGCTTTTTTTCAAAATACTTTTAGCTCTAAAATTTCCTGCGGAAGGTGAAAGTTAAATTTCTCCGTCAAACTTCATTTGAGAACGATGTAAAGTTTTTCTCCTTATACAAGTCAATGTTCTCTATCGACCTACGCCAGAATCAACGCCTCATATCAAAAGCTGAAGTTTTTATTGAAATTTTAAAAGTAGGGCAGAAAACCCGAAAAAAACTTCAAAATTTATTTTATCAAAAACTACAAATCCGGGAACTGAAAGCTTTGTTGAGACGTATACTCCGAAGTGTCCCCTACAAACTGGTAAAAAAAATGGATGGGGGG